CTCCTTCAAGCCGTCAAACCTCAAGGTAATTTTTTTGTTAATTTTTTCGATTTTTTTCGTTTTTCGTTTCGGTTTTTTTTTTTATTTCAAGTTCTGATAATCTACATTCTTGATTTTTTCTTTTGGTCTCCAGTTCAGGCAGTTCTCCATCTTCAAATCTCCTTCAAGCCGTCAAAGGTAATTACTTTTTCCTTTTCGTTTTTTTAATACAGTTTTTCTGTTTTTGTATTTGATTATTGTTGTTGTTCTTGCTTGAATATAGTCGAAATATGCCTAAAATCTGTTGTTGATTGTATTTTTGTTTTTTACGGGAAAATGGTAGATTTGTGCTGTTTTGTTGTTTATTATGCTCGATTTAAAAGTAATGATGATGGGTTGTTCAGATTATGTGATTATTATTGTTGGAATACATGCATTGTTTATTTATTGGAATACTTGTGCAGTTGTGCTTCATGCTTTGGTCCATACTCCATAAAAAATGATGGTTGACCATACTGTCAATTGCATACTTGTAATAATTGGCATATTTTGTACTCAAGAATGAATTTATCCATTGAAATTCAATTGTGGGTCCTTATGCCTTACTGAAAAAAATGACTTACCAGGGAAATCATGCATGCTTAAAATGTATACTTGTATGATTGGCTTAAAGTTGGCTTAAAGTTCGTACTTAGAATGTACACATATGTCAGTCACATGAGACAATGCATGCTTAATTGCTCACTATTAGTAGAATCTGTCACTTAATTTGGTACTTATAAATGCTGTTTTTTTTTTGTTTCAGTCATGTCTCGTGAGTATGATGAATTTGACTATGAGAGGCAATCAAATTTTGATACTGTTAGCTCTCAAGCTGCCTCTGTCCCGGATGATGATGCTAGTAATACCGGCATTATCAATCCTTCTGTTAATAAACGTCAAAGAACCGCAGGTATATGGAAGCATTACACTTTTTTTGTAAAGACGATAGGTAATGAAAAGGTAGATTATGCTCGTTGTAATTTGTGTGGCAAAGAATATCCCACTTCTAATTTGTATTTTGTTAGTGTTTTAAAAATTGAGTACGCTATTACTCAAGCCTTTAAAGACCCTAAACTTGCACCCATGGCAGCAGTTATGCTTGAGAAGTTTGAGAGTTATTGGGAGGATTATAGTTTGATACTTTCAGTTGCTATTGCTCTTGATCCTCGTTATAAGTTGTTTCGAGTGAGACATATGTTGAACTCGTTGTATAATGATGAGGCATGCGACGAAAAGATTATGATGATTAAGGAAGCTTTTTATGACCTTTATAAATTTTATTCTACTGCATCTAATACAAGCTGCAGAAATCCTGCCTCTTCAAACACAGCTCAATCTGAAAATTCTAATCGCACGTTGAGATCTCAAAATATTTTCACGGTATTTATGTTATACAATATACTCAATGTTAATGGTAGTCTTCTATTTTTATTTGTAATGTCATAATTTAACTTTTAATAAAAAATCTGTTTCAGTTGCATGAGGTTGATGACGAATGTGATGATTCAACTAGATGCCCTCTGGCTGATCTTGAGGCATATTTGAATGGACCTCGTTCGCGATTAATTCAAGGGGAACATTTTGACGTTCTCAAGTACTGGGAATCTCAAGCTTCTTCTCTTCCTATTTTAGATAATATGGCAAGGGATGTTTTGGCCATTCCTATTACATCGGTGGCCTCTGAATCTTCTTTTAGTTTGGGTGGTCGTATTTTGAACAAATATAGGGGTAAACTTTTGCCAAAGAATGTTGAGGCATTGGTTACCACCCAAAATTGGTGTCGTGGTTATCAAGCGGATGTTGAGGAAGACGTCCTCCTTATTGGTAAAGAGATTGAAGCCGAAAGTGATTCATCTGCATAACTGGTATTTGTGTCTCATTGTGGTTTATTTTATCTTGAAAAATCGTTGCCCTTGTCATTTATTTTCAGACTTGCTGGCGGCATTTTTCAAGACTTTTAAAATCGTTGCCCTTGTCATTTATGTTGAGATTTAAATAGTTAAATGTATTTTGGTACTTGCTGGCAGCATTTCTCAAGTTTTTGTTAAAACAACCATTGCTCAGTGATGTAAATCTGAGAGCAATTTTAAAAAACAAAAGCTATAATTTTGAAGTTGCTTGAACTTGTTATGAGCTGCTGCCTGCTGGTAGTGCTTTTGCCTTTTGGTTGTTGTCTCTGAGTTGTTATTGCCTATATTGTTGCCTGCATGAGCTGGTTCCTGCCTCCTGCCAGCTTGAGGTGCTGTGTTGCTGCCTTTTGTGTTATGAATTTATGATAAGTTTTGTTGCTGCTGTTTCTTATGCTTGCTGTTTTAATTTTTCTTGAATCATCGTTGCCCTTGTCATTTATGTTGAGACTTCAATGTATATGTACTTGCTGGCAGCATTTTTCAAGTTTTAAGTTAAAACAGTCATTGCTCAGTGATGATACAATAAACGTAAATCTGAGAGCAATTTCGAAAAACAAAAATAAGTTCCTGCTGAGTCCCTTCTGCTTATATTATTCCTTGCTTCTGATAAGTTGCTGATCTGTTATTGCGTGTGCTGGTTCCTGCTTGTTGATGCTATTTTCTCTGCTCTTGGGTGTTGTGCTGCTGCTTCAAGATTCCGCTCCCAAATCACTCACATTCTCAATCCTCCCTTCATCTTATCATGTATCATTTTTTGCAACCCTAAACTTGATGATGTTTCAGTTAATAAATTTGAAATCTAATCTGGGTAGTAGTGATAGTAGTTTCATTATGTATTGGTATATGTATTGTGAATTTTAATTAATGAAAATGGTGACTTTTTTTAATTGCTTGTTGATATTACTCTAATTTTAATGTTATTTATCTGCTGGATTTGTGGTAATGTTATGAAATAATTGTGGCTACAGATTTGGGATGCCTCCGTATTTATTAAAATTCTTTTACTTAATATCTGGTTTAATTTAAGAAAAGCTAAAAAAATGTGTTTTATAAACATTTTAGTCCTCCCCTTTACAAAATACTTGTATAAGAAAGTTTTATAAAGTGATAATGTGAATGATTGTACGCCTTATTAACTAGTACAATAATATTCTAATGCTTATGCCCACTTGTGTAACGCAATCTCATACATCTCCAATCTTATGTTACCTTTGAGGCTTTGAGTGTTATTGGATGATCATGAATATCTTTATGAAGGAACAATGAAGATAATTTGGGTGGACTAGCATTATTACTGGAATGAAAATGATACAAATGATATATCTTGTAATTAAAATAAATAAGTAATCTGAAACGATATTAATAATGCCGTTGGCCTAGATCTAGGTGATATAAACCTTTGTATAAACCTACGCCGTTTGATTAGATCTACATTTATTAACATTAATTGTATTTACTATTTAGCCATTTAGGTTGTAAATAATTCAATTTGAATTAAGCAGTTTGTAATCGGATCAATTTAAACAGGTTGCGATTCGAAAACAGTTCGATTTTAACGGTTTAACGGGTTATGGCAGTTCAATTTAGACGGTTAGCGGATTATAACGGTTCGGTTTATACGTGCGGTTTAAACGGTTAGCGGGTTACAAATGGTTCGGTTTAAACGGTTTTTTTTTTTCGGTTTAAACGGTTTCGGTTTATAAACGGTTCGGGTCATTAACGGGTTTATAAACCATTCGGTTCGGTTTCGTTTCGGTTCGGATTTGCGCAGTTTGGTTTGTTATCGGTTTACGGTCCGTAACGGGTTGACCTTCAGCGGTTCAATTCGGTTTCGGTTTGATATTGAACGGTTCAGTTCGGTTTTCGGTTTATATTTATCGGTTTATAAACGGATCGGTCCGTGATGGTTCGGTTCGGTAACGGGCGGTTTCACGGTTCGGTTTGAAAAGTCCCACCCCTAACGTTAGTAGCTTGTTTGATTAGGAAATATGGTATAAGGTAAAAAACAATCAAATATGTGTTGTGCCTAATAAGCGAATTGGGAAGTTAGGGTTGGGATTGACTACCTAGTACCTTGATAAATATGGAAGCTCGTTATTGTTACTAAGCTTGGTAGGCTTTACATTTGAAAAGTCAATTTATTTATAACATCTATACTAATCTACTTAGTATTAAAAAGCGTTCCTAAGAAAATTTATGTGTCATGTAGACCCATTTGTTACGCCATGTCATCCGCTCAACTTCTCAAGATTTGAAATACGACCTCTAATTCTAAAATTGAGTGTCTTACCATCAAACTATGTGATATTTTATGTTATCTTATGAATTAATTTTTTACACATATATAACAAATTTAATTAAAAGAAAATATGTGATGACTCGAGTTAACGTTCGGCTCAAATACTAGTTAGTCAATAAGAGATAATCAAGTTAAATAGGAAAAAGAGCTAAAGAAGAATAAGTTTTAAAACCAACCTATATTACGTATTAGCAATTTAGCATATACGAAGATTACGAACTACAAGTACTTCTCTATTCCAAATTAATAGAAATGCTTCCTTTGATCAATTTGCTAATGCATAAATGCAATCGAAATAATCACAAATTTTATTTTTTATATCTATTTGTATAAATGTTTGTCAAAGTAAAGTTTGATAATATGAAAACTCAAAACGTGTTGTCTAACAGAATATTAAAAAAAAAAAAATTAATAAATTATTTTTACCAACAAAACTTCTAAAACTTTTATTTTACCACAAAATAAAAAATAAAAAATTATTTTTTACCACATCCCATCAAAATAACCGGTAAACATAACATAATTTTTTAAATTCTTCGATTTTCGTACCAAATACATGATTTTTAAGGGTTTTAGGGGGCATTTTAGTCCTTTGAAATCAATTTGTGGTCATAATTGACAAAAAATGATTGAAAATGACTTGTTTTGAGTGTTTAAAAGTATCTTGATTTGCATGAAACATGCAAAATGAGGCATTTTCGATCATCTGACCTCAAGTCACACCCAAAAGATCAAAATGTCCCTCTAAACCTACGAAGAACATGTTTTGCGCACGAAATATGAAGATTTTTTTTAAACCGTTAGATTTAATGGTTTTCTCGACGGTAGATGATAAAAAAACAACTTTGAGATTTTTTTTTTTTTTTTTTTTTGGTGTGTTAAAATGAAAGTTTCAAAGGTAAAAAATACTTTTTGTGAATTTTTTTTTTGGTAAATGTAAAAAAAAAATCCTAAGTTTTTTGTCTTTTACTTTTCTTAGCAATTTAAAAAGAAATTTTTTTAAAAAATACACAGTAGTCAAACACACAAAAACTTCAAAGTCTCCGTTGATTTACTGGTTCAATTCTCCCTCATCAGTCATCATTCTGGGTTTCCGCCATGGATAAACCCAATAAAAAGCTCAAAGCTCAGTTCAAATTCCAACCCATTTCACCATTAACACTCTTCTTCATCTTCTCTCTCCCTTCTTCTTTCTCTCTCCTCTACCTTCCTCCTCCACCATTACCCCTCCTCCCCATCCCCACCTCCCAGCAGCTTTCATGGCAGCTCTCAGAAATGGCAATCTTCCTCCACTTTGGCACCAACACTTTCACCGACTCCGAATGGGGCGACGGTAAATCCGACCCATCTATCTTCTTTCCCTCCAATTTCGACGCTAAACAGTGGGTTGCCGTCGTTAAATCTGCCGGGTTTAAGAGGGTGATTTTGACGGCGAAACACCATGATGGGTTCTGCCTTTGGCCGTCTGATTACACTGATTATTCTTTGAAATCGAGTAATTGGCGAGGTGGGAATGGCGATGTAGTGGGTGATTTGGTTGTTGCTGCAAAAGAGAGTGGGATTCAATTGGGGTTGTATCTCTCTCCTTGGGATCGCCATGAAAGTTGTTATGGGAATACTTTGGAGTATAATGAGTTTTATTTGGGACAAATGACTGAATTGCTAACTAGGTAATTAACTATACAATTTCTTGTTTTTGCAATTTATTGAAATTATATATTACAGTTTACAGTAATGATTAACTTAGATATACAGCTAATCAGAACCTATATTATAGAAACACATTATAGAGTATGCATGTTGTTTTTTTCTTGAGTTTTGTTGCTGTTGTTGCTGCTGCTGCTGCTGTCGTTGTTTTCTTCAGTTTTGTTGTTATTTTCTTCAGTTTTGTTGTTGTTGTTTTCTTCAGTTTTGTTGTTGTTGTTGTTGCTGCTGCTGCTGCTGCTGCTGTTGCTTTCTTCAGTTTTATTGTTGTTGTGGTCGTGGGCATGGTCGTGATCATGGTCATGGTCGTGGTCGTGGTCGTGGTCGTGGTCGTGGTCATGGTCGTGGTCGTGATCGTGATCGTGGTCATGGTCGTGGTCATGATCGTGATCGTGGTCGTGGTTGTTGTTGTGGTGGTCGCTGTGGTTGTGGTGGTTGTTGTTGTTGTTATTGTGGCTATTGTTGTTGTTGTGGCTGTTGTTGTGATTGTTGTTGTTGTTATTGTTGTGGTGTTGGTGGTGGTAGTGGTAGTGGAAGTGGTAGTGGTTTGCCATTGTTCTTGGTGCCAGGTGGTGTTGGTGGTGTTGCCGTGTTGGTGCCATTGTTCTTGGTGCAGAAGTATGTACTAGGCTTATTTTGTATCTTCTTTGTCATGGCTTAAATAGTGCAATCAAACTGCACCTTGCTTTATCATGTTTGGTTAATGCTTAAAGCAATATTTGCAACTGGCAAAAATAATGAACAGTATCTTCTCTTCAAAGATAATCTAATAGAATATGCAATTTTCGAGTTGTAGCAATCTGTAATGAATTTTCAATCTCCCTTGATATCGAAGCTAACGAACATATAGTGTAATGGGTAAGGTAAAATTAATCTTTTGTGTTGCTGTGGTAATATGCTGCCTATGGATTTTAATCTTTTTCTTTACTAGTGTGTTGATTGAACAATTGTCCATCTATCAATCTGCATTGTGCTTAGAAGTTTTATTATGCTCAATTGTCCAATCAACACTATATTCATAAGTCATAAAAGAAACTTCATAGTAATTTGTTCATTGGCTTGAGACTTTTAATCCTTGGTTCCTATTGGAAATTTACATTGTTTCGTATATCTCCCATTGTGCCCAGCTGCATGAATTAGGATGTAACACTACCTTTGAAATTAAAACCTCTGGTGTGACGGCTGATTATCTAGCACTAAACACTCTGAAACTTTTTAGATAAAAGCATGTTTTTACCCCTTTCTGGATCATAACTCCTAAGTAATTTCTGGTGTTGTTAAATGAAGCTAACGATCATAACTCCTAAGTAATTTCTGGTGTTGTTAAATGAAGCTAACTTCTTGATGAAACAGATATGGGGAGATCAAGGAGGTATGGTTGGATGGTGCCAAGGGAGAGGGGGAGAAGGATATGGAATATTTCTTTGACATCTGGTTTGATCTAATTCATCAACTGCAACCCAAAGCCGTAATCTTTTCTGATGCTGGACCTGATGTTCGGTGGGTTGGAGATGAAGCTGGTGTTGCTGGATCAACTTGCTGGTCTTCTTTCAATAGGAGCGCTGCAAAAATTGGTGGAACTGATCCCCAGTAAGTTAACTTAGACCCTGTTCTTATTACCTCAGAATGAGTAAAGTTAAGTTTAATTTAGTTCTGACCACTTTGATTCAGGGTTTACACAGTCTACACCTACTGCACACATTTTCATATTCCTAGGAGAATTACTTTGTATTTCACTGTCTGAAAATGAAAGAAAGCAACAACATAATTCACCATGTACATATATACATTACAGATTTACAGAGATACATAAACATGCGTCTATTGATAAAAGCCCGTGTGTCGTCTTATGGAAGAGGGAGGGGTAAATTCCAGCTGTTGACCTAGTTTTTGGTTATCTAAAAAAGTCTGAAGAGTGAAAACCATTGATATCATATAAGATTCAAACTTCAACTACATCTTATATTGATTTTTTTGCTTCTTTGGTACAGAAAAATAGTTGCTTAGATGAGACCAATCATTGACTAAATGCAATCCTTTTGTCACTATGTAGGATATAATTTTAAAGTGCAATAGTATTAAAAGCTAAATTGCATTCTTCCGTGGGAAAGGCGTTGCATTTTTGACATTATTCATTGCAGCTCAAGCTAACCTACCCATTATACTTATTGAACCTAAAAGGTATTCACGGGAAGGAGACCCACGAGGGCATGATTGGGTACCTGCTGAATGTGATGTCTCCATCAGACCTGGTTGGTTTTGGCATGCATCTGAATCACCAAAATCTGCACTGTCTCTACTTGACATCTACTACAAATCAGTAGGCAGAAATTGTCTTTTACTGCTAAATGTTCCCCCAAACTCCTCTGGTCTTATATCTGATGAAGATATACAAGTACTTCAAGAATTCGCTGAGCTTCGGAGCTCTATTTTTTCCAATAACCTGGCTAGGCATGCCATTGTGTTTGCCAGTAGTACACGAGGAGATAGTGATTCTCGCTTTGGTGCCTCCCATGTTCTTGAAGAGAATATTTATACATATTGGGCCCCAGAAAAGAACCAAGCTCATTGGATATTGTATTTAGACTTGAAGGATATAGTCGCTTTCAATGTCTTGCAACTTCAAGAACCAATTCAACTAGGGCAAAGGATCACATATTTTTACATTGATATTATGAAAGACAAGGGGCAATGGAAGAGAATTTTGGATGGGACTACCATTGGATACAAAAGACTCTTACAATTTCCGAGAGTGGAATCTCAGTACTTGAGGTTGGTGATTGAGAAAGCTCGTGGAGACCCTCTTATTTCCTTTGTTGGGGTTCATATGGATCCTTATTTAACCCTAACAAGCATATCTGATACAAGTCATACAACCAAAAGGCTGCCATCAAATGGAAACGATTTATTGAGCAAGTTTAAAGATACTCTCTATTCTATACCATACAGAAAGATGTCTCTCAGATCTCAAATTTAGGTAAGCCTTACTATGGGAGCATATCATACTGTGGGAATCCGGTGGGATGCATTCCACCTTTTTTTCCTCTGCTTTATTACGGTCCTTGATTGTACTTCAACATTAATCTCGGAGTAAAAAGTTCAATGATACAAGATCGAAAGTTTAAATCAAGCTTTGCCTCATTTATTCTTCTGAGTGGCAAAAGAAAGTGTATTAATCTCGATGTGTTTATCCTAAACATCCATAGTGCATATGTTTGTACCATTTGTATATCAATGATTCAATCACCTGTGGAAAGTGGAATACTCTTTCTGAAGCGAGTATTGTTGTATGTTTGAAATGATTACAGAAATGAACAGTTTGCTCGATGTACACTGTTGGAATTTGTGATTCAGAGATTTTATTATTAATGCAAATGCTGTGTTTTTACTACATTATGTAACTAGTTCTGAAATTCTTACTATTACAATTGCCATGTTCTGCTGTTTTTCTGCAATTCCATTTCATTCAGTTAAAAGGTTGAGAAAACTCATAATGTGCGGCATGATACATAAATTTGTCGTCAAGGGAATCCTTTAATAACGACGTTCATGAGGTGGCGCACAGCCTTGTGAAGTACGATTCTCACATGACTCACCCTCTGAAATTCCATTACTTCCCAGATGGCGCTGTGGATGCTTAGACAAAGGACAAGAGAGTGAATTGGTTTGAGTTTTTGAGGTCTACAAGCAAGCTTCTGGGTACACGCTTTGCTTCTTCCTGACCTGGTGTATTTATGATGCTTTATGCAATGTTAATGCTGCTATGACAATATATAAATGGTGTTTACTATCATAACTTGTGATCAACGAAATTACAATAATTAAATACATTAACATTCAACTCTTACAACATATTTAGGGCAACAGGTGTTTACTATCATCACTTGTGATCAACGAAATTACAATAATTAAAATACATTAACATTCAACTCTTACAACATATTTAGGGCAACAGGTGTTTACTATCATCACTTGTGATCAACGAAATTACGATAATAACATTCAATTCTTACAACATATATAGGGTGTCGCCTGCAGTACTATAATCGAAGCTGGAAATTGTATGATATGGAGTGTACGAAACTTTTAATTATCCAAAATGAGTTTGGTAAAGGTCTAGTTCAAGCAAAGAAATAAAACATCATGATAAATAATTAAGCAATAAGAGACTTTTTATTCGTTGCTCAATTTAAATTGGTTATATCATAGATCAAGGGTCTTACATAAATAATCTCTAACCTTGAAAAAGAAGAAAAAAAAAAAAAAAAGGTGACCTCTATTCCTCTATTGCTGATAACTAAAGTACTAAATTTTCTGAATGACATATATTTCCAGTACTTTGCTTAACAGACAGACAGCAATAAGTAACTGCATTATGTTCCAATGTTGGGGTTGTGGATATCAAAGAGAGAGGAATACCACAGCAATATCTTAATTCTGTGATGATGTAATGATGGAAGCACATACCAACAGTAAAAGACAGCAAGTCATGGTAACTTTTTAGTTGATTTTAACATCACGAAGAATCCGGGTGGCACCACATCTTCGCACTTCCCAGTCAGTAAGATCTCGGCTTGACTCTCCTGTGGAATCCGAGCAACCTCTATCGTTTTTCTCACCCTCAACTTCATCCACCCCGTTAGTCTTTCCTTCACTCTGGTTACTTTCTCTCTCTACAGATTCGGATGCTTGATTTTTCTCTTGATCTACTGCCAACGTAATTCCAGCAGAATTTTTTGGTTCCATTAAATAAAGCTGAATACTCGGATGCTGATACTTTCTGTCCATCTGCAACCACAAAAGAGTTTCAGAGTTGGGCATCTATGTAAAGACTATTCAACGAAAGCATACTTTGAAGAAAAGGCTGTTAAAAAAAACAATTACAGTTTTATTAATCTTGTGCTTAACTTGATGATCTTGAAATTTAATACGGAGCATATGTACATCTTCGAAGGTAGTAAATATCATTTCGTTCAAAAGTTCAAATACGTTTACTGAAAGCCAAATTCTCAAACAATTTATTAGATGGGATAAAATCAAATGTTTTAATGATCCTTCCTAAATGTAGTGAGGTAGTAGGCTTCTTGCTAGCCTTCCCAATCAAGGGAGTAACGATAACAATTTGTTCGACAACTGCAACTTGCAAGGACAAGGTAACAAAAACCTATGTTAAAATGTGAGGGTAACGTTATCTATGTACATTAAACCCAACCTTAGTCCTTGCCATGCAGGAAAGGGCCTCATGAAGCAAGATATTAGGTCAACAGTGATTGGTTTTGGATAAATAAAGTGATGTACCTTGGTTCTTGGAACAGTTTTGACATCAAAGTTGCTCTTCCACAATTGAAGCATTTGTTCGTGGACACTTGTAGAACGTATCTCATAACCCAACTGTCCAGTAAAAATTTAAACTGCTAACTTATACTTGAACTGAAACAATTGCTACAGTAATACTAAATATAGAGTTTTTTTTTAACATCTTTACCACAATGGTCGTGCGTGGTCCTGACAAAGCATGTATCGTTTGCAGCAGTGGATCAAGGAGATGTTCAGCATAAACCTGATATCCACACACATCAGAACCATTGCTTGCAAAAATTTATCTATACCACATTGTTATTTGTTGCTAGTCCTATACCATAGTCCTCCAGAATATTATTTTGCAGATATGCAAACAGACAAGCTATAGAAATAAAAATAAAAAAGAAGGCCCTAATCTGCCCAACAGTCACCTTTTATTTATCAAAATAGAAGAACAAAAGGCCAACTAGATATACCATGTAAAGAAGAATGTAATTACCATGCACATGCCTTGTTTCATGAACAACGTAGAGTGGCTGGGTAATCTGTATAGACTGTATTATCAGTTCACATAAGTCTTCCAAAACTGACAGAAAGTTTGGATTAACACCTAAAAACCTTTCTATTATTTTTTTTGGACTTTTGCACTCCAACAAGTTTTAATTTTACCATGTCCCACCGCAGTTACTTTTGGTCATAAGCTTATATACCTTGATGCCTTGAAAGGGATAATATATATGAAAAGATACATACCACATCAGTGCCGATCACAAAATCATATGGAGGATCCACAGCTTGTATATGATCCTTATTACCCCAATCCAATTCCGCAACCTTGATAGAGCCGAATGAATCTGCAGTGCAACTCTTGCACAAGTTAGATACAAAATAATACAGAACATTGATGCCAACAAAGAGTGAAGGGTAGAGGAAATATAAAGAAGAAATAGGTTTTAAAAAAATCCAATATTATATCACTGCAGAAGTGAAAATTTAGAGCATATATCATATTGCTCTTTACTACCTGCATTGGCATTTGCCTGCATGATCCATGAAGTATTACGTTCAACATTTCGCTGTAGCAGAGGCAGAACTTCTTTCTGATCAGTTGTGACCACTTCACATCCTAACATAGCCATCCCTGGTTGCCCAAAAAGAAATTTAAAGGGATGAAAAAGAATAGATACATTATCAAATTTCTAGATAATGAAGACGTTGGGATGGACCCATTATTCTCTGAAAATGTTATACTACATTGGTTTCCAACTTATGCTGAAGACAGACATCTAAGGAGCAGGTATAACATACCAAAGCCAGCTACTCCACAACCTGCTCCAAGTTCAATAACTCGCTTTCCTTTGAGTTTAGATGGACAAAATCTCCCTTTTCTGCTATTCCTTTCCTGAAAAAGTGAGTGAATCATCAATAGGAAACATCTCAAAAAATTTACTAGTACACTAAATGCCTAAGATATAAGAAATTTAATAGTCCAATGGCATGGGCAAAGCATAGAGTTTATACCTAATACTCACAAGTTCTTATTAGGTGTGAAAGTCAAACATGTATAAGGACAAGCCAAGTATAATCATCCTAATCTGCCATTCTTTTCCTTGAAAAAATTGATACAAACAGAATGCATCTCACAAATCATCAATATATGTGAAAGCCTAGCATAAACACAAGTCATAAGTTGCTATACCATGTTAATTTCTAGACAGATTTAAGAATGGACAAAATTCAGCAAATCAGCATACTGTTGCACAGTTGACGACATCCATGGGTCCGTGGCAAGATACAGTCAACTTAAATCACCTCCCCCCACCCCCAAAAAAAAAAAAAAAAAAAAAAAAAAAAAAGCAAAATTCAAAGTAAAATATTACAGTTATAATTGAAACCAAAATACAACAATTGCATTTACAGCATACTAAACTCACATTCTCACCTAACCTTACATATTAGCCCATCAAACAAAGAAGATAATAAAAATGTTCTAACTTACTATGTGGTTATGTTATGCAGTCTAACTTTATAGCGCAAGATAATAATATGTCTCAACAACGATGACAACAAACCCAATAATTCCAGAGATTGCATCAAACTTTTAAGATATATATAAGCCTAGGAAAAGAAATATACCAGATACTTGGCAAATACCATTGATGCATCCCATACTGTAGTTCCCAAATGCTTGGAATTTGGATCCTGTCACAGCAAAGGAGAAAAAAAAGGTTCTACCAAGAGTTATCAAGGACAGGAGAAAACAGGAAAGTGGATATATGTAGTATAATTTCTTGGGTAAGGGTGGACAAATTTATACAGAATGATTAAAGGCTAAAATCTGTAGAAGTTTATAAATTAAATTACCAAATCAATAAAATTTTCGAAAAATAAATTTCAACTCATCCAAGCAGCCAAAAAAAAACTCCCTTAAGCTCTGCATAGCGGAAATTTGTAATGCTATCTCCCAATAAATACTTCTCTAAAATTCACAATAAAAATCTAAGGAAATTCTGTGTTAGAAATTTACAGTTATATGGATAGGTTAATTTCTTAATGCCAATGGCTGTGTTTTTAATCAAAGCTCAAGCTCAAACCCCAAAAAGAAAGCTTCATCGGCAAACCAATGCAAATTCTTCTACAAGCATTACCTGAAAACATGTATTCAAATGAGTTTGAGGAAAGCATTTTTTAGAAACAAGTCAAACAACTGCAGTGTGAACCACAACTGCAACAACTACATATGCTCTACACAGGCTGCATGAGGGTGTTCTACAGCTCCACTTCTCCTTTTCATAGTAATTATCTCACTTTTGTTCTGGTAAATTTCGATTTGAGTTTCCTAACACTCTTAAATATTTATTATCTCCGCACATTTAATGCACAAATCAACAAGAAAAATAATCCTATTAAATTCATTTACATTTCTTGATTTGTGGAGTAAAATGGAACAACCAAGTACTCTGAAATAAGTTTTGCAGAATGATATCCACATCATAAAACCCATCACTTTCCGAAAAAGTAGTAATGTCAATGACAATATTTTTTTTGTTGAGCCAACAAAAGTGAAGCCATAGAGCCCCAAAAAAGAAG